TCATCGTTGGCCGCTCCACCACCCGCAGAGTACCAACGACTCCCTTTTTTTATAATTGAAAAATCATTTCTCCGATCTGCCCGGCACAATTATTCCACCGATACGTTATGACTACTGCAACGGTCGGCGATCGCCGCGGTTCGTGACTTAAACGTTCACGTACACCTAAAGCTCTAAACGTGGTATACGGTAACAGCACAATTATGTGTTTTCATGTGCTCCGCATACGACTGCCCGTCCGTACCGACGTTACGTACTTCTTTATATCATGTCTCTCTCCTGCGAGCAAAGCGGACACGTTATAAATTAAAAAACTACACTGTGATTTCATGAGCATATGAGCTTTTCCTCGTCCTATCGGCCAAATAATCGTCAGCGTTATCTGGACGCGCGGGAATCGTTAAACGGTGTAATTGAATCGTTTGAGGGGGCGGAGAAGACCACCCGGACAGCATTTCGAACTCGTGTTAAACAGGCGGCGGTCGCGAACATTTAGCGGATGGCGAGTTCGTGTCGCCAAAGACTCGATGAAATGATGTGTGTAACGATTTCCAAACGTACGTAATGCAGTCAAACGAACATCATGTTTAGTTTCACCGAGGACATGATCGGAGTGATTTATAACGTCCTATTCGAGACACGGAGGTCGTATGTACCTGAAAGAACGTCCGGAGCGTTTGTTTAAGTCCACGCAGAACGGAAGTCGTCAGTCGTATTATGACTGACCGGAATGTAATAAAATTCGGTTGCGATCTGTGAGAGTACTGAGTATCACGATAATATAGACATCTATCATTCGCGTGGAAAACACCATAAGGTTTATGTCGTCGCCGGTGGAGTGTAATTTATGAAACTTAGCGGTCGTAGGAAGTACGCGATTAGTATACGAGATTATAATGGCAAATGTATAAGTGTCATTACCCAGATGATTTGTTTCCACAATAACAATTTTACATTAGCTATTAATGTCAACGAATTAATTTTACCCAACAAAATGTTTCGTAGAAAACGGTTATTATTCATTGAGGCCAACAAAGAAGATACGTCGCTTAAATAATAATAAGTTGTGGCTAGTAAAATGTATAAATAATATAACACGAATTCGTCTACCCCGAAACGCGATCACATTTCGATGTTTAATTATCAGCCATAGAATTCATTAGTTATCATCGCAGTCGATCAATTGTAATGGTGACGCTAAAAAAAAGCAAGTTTGCGCGTACATAGTAAATCTCCATAAATTACATTGTTAGACGTGTTTTGCACACGCCGTTAGAGAAGTCGCACTAAGAACATTGTCAAGTAAAATAGATTTTTTTATCACCACACGTTTTCAAAAAAAAAAAAAAGTACCTGTGTAAGTAATTAGTCATTTACGCAATTAGTTAAAAAAAATGTTCATGACGAATTCAATAAAAAGTTTTTTGTTTCACATTTTTATGAAATAAATAGCAGCTTTGTAAGTCTTTACAGCGTTTTGCCGGTTTCTCAATAGCACGTTTTTTTTTTCACTAGCAGCCTTACTGTTGTAATATTTCATACATGCGATAAAATCGCCACTTTCAGCACTGCTAATTGAAAATGACCAAAAAACAAACAATACCCGACTACTCCTACGCCACGTTTAGCGTTTATGAGGCGCTAAACACGCTAGAGAACAATTAGAAACGAACTCGAGAAAAATGATACGCGGATCACAATTTTTAATATTTCATCGTCGGCCGGCCAATTTGTACTGCGATAATAGCGCCGTCGCCTACAGCTGTTGTTTCGGAGTATTCTCTCAGCGTTAACAACAATGCGTAGGACTGCTAATCGATAGTTCGCGAACGTATGAAGATGTCAATTAATCAACGTGCGCGATCGTGACGGCGCTCGGGGTATTATAAACACATACACGTCGATAACCGGTGAAATTCACTGGGGTCAACGCCGATGACACTACACGGTGACCCCCCCCCCGCCATTAGCCGAGCGACAGGTATAAGAGTCCTGAAAATAGCGAGTCACGAAGAGCCACGGCAACCGTGGCGAAGGAGCCGTTTTTTTAGCGCAATAATAATAATAACAAACGCCGGCATTGACCGTTAATCGGCGGCAATTAATACATCAATTTTTATTTTTTCAATTGCCCGGTGGATTTATGACACAACGAGGTCCGGCCAATTATCTGCGATCACGAACCCGGTCCTCCTGCGCAGTACAGTATAGTACTCGACTACAGCGAGCGCGTGCACAGTGTTCGGAGACAGCCGCCGTTCGGATTCAAGACGATCGTATCAGCCGACGGGTTTCCAGCACGATCGTTCGACGATTACTTTTTTATTGCCGCGTGATTATCATACTGAAGGCAAAAAACACGTCGGACGTCGCCGATTATCAAACCGATTTTGTCACGTCTGGAACGCCTCCCGACCGGAGAAAGAATTTTAATCGGCCACCATTGTGATGAAGATATTTAATGAATAGTTCCAAGAGGATCTCGGGAATCTTACACATTCGAACCGATCACGACGCGGACAAAAAAATAATGCTCTGCGCCACACAAAGTCAACACTAACGGCGCAGTTCTTAGGCGGAGCCATTTGAGAGCCGGACGACTTCCACCGCGATAACGACCGCGCGCCGGACAACCGGATGCGTCCGCAAGGCGTTCGAAATACTTAACGACAAGATCGAATCTCGTGATATCCAGTGGAGTGTATAAATCCAAGCGGATTTCTATAAAAAACACGAAATTCACAAACGCGCGCGTTATAGAGGAGAATAACAATTCGCGGTGGGGACGATACTAAACTCGTTAGCCGAACAAAGTCGCAGCAGTACGACGGGGCAACGTGGCCGGCGATAAAACCGAATGGAAAATTCGGCTACTCTTCGGTTGTTGGCGCCGATTATGTGCCGAGCAAACGACGAGATCACGCGGATCGATAACGCTCAAATATTTAACGTGTGGCCGCCAATTTCAAGCCGCGTTTCAAACTCGACGCGCGCCCATCGATAATATCAATAAAAACCCAACTCGTTCAACGCGTCGATTTAACCGCAATCGGAGCGCGCCGACGGGGAAGGAAAGAGGTTGGTTGATGTGCTGGTAGCGGTGCGCAGAGCATTGGAGAGCGTATCGGGCACGTCCTTGTCGCCATAAACGGAAAAAAGGGACAAAACTCGGTAAACTAGTTGATAGTTTTCTCTCTCGGCCGACCTCGCCATATACATAAAGTGGTATTGTAGTAGCGATGACCTTTCACCGGCGTATGCGCTACGATTGTGTGTCGGCGACCGCTACACTGTGTGAATCTGGAGCACGCGGCCGCCGTTGTGGATCTATCGGAGCACGAAAATCGACCCGAAGCGTTTCGCAACCGCGGCGGCCGACGACGTTAACGTCTCCCATAGGCGACACACGCACACGTTCGCGGTATGATATACGTGTACATAAACTGTCGTGACCGAATCGTAAAATCCGTTCGCTCTAACCGATACTTATCTCGGCTGTTAAATCTTCATTTGCACGACATCATATGCGGTCGCTCCAAAAACGTTGCTCGTTGGTTGCGACCAACCGTTTTTAAAAATCTCATATGAGCGACTGCATTGTGGCGGACCGTTCTCCGAGTGACATTTGTGTTAACTCCGTCCATTAGTACCCACCGAGCAATCAAGACGCGGCCACGAATTTGCGCAAGTGCGTTACACAACATCGGGACGCCGACTTTGGACCAGTCACGGTTGCGACGCCAAGTCCCATCACCATCGACTGCGCAAAATTCACAATGTTGTGCGATTTTTCGGACGAGATAGCGTACGACATTAGTGAGCGCACGAAAAAAACCAACTAATAAATTCACGTTTTCTTTTTATTTGTTTTATTTTTAATGCGTTGCGAAACGGATCGTGGGCAAATTTATCCGCGTTCGCTAAAATTGTACCAAACTTACAGAGAACGCAGTTAAAACACGTTATGAACACGCTTGTTCGCACTTATCGTCGCATAACTGAATAGTAAACAACCTGTTGACTTGGTAAAAAAAGATATTACGAAATTTGGCAAAATCATACTCGGAGTCGGATAAAAAAAAAAATAATAAACTTCAACTGTCGCATTACTAATTCATACCAAATTTTTTTATGAATTCACTTCATAGTCCTGTTGAAGAACAGTAAACCTATTTCACGATACCATAAAAGTTCATAATACACGCGAACAGCTATGTGTTTTTTGGCTGAAATAAAAATCCGACCGATTCGTTAATCTCCTTAATCTAATTTAATACTCGTGCGCTTTTTCATTTGTCACGTAATACGGAAGACTGCAAAAATCTATAAGGCGAATTAGCCATTGAAAACATATGCCGTTTAAGTAGTCGTGAGAAACTAAACGACGTCCTACGCGCACCCTGTTCACAATGCGCACTACCGTCTCGCGTGCGTAGGATTAATTGCGGAAAGGCGTCAGCATTAACAAATAGGTGTACCACTGAGCCGTATCTAAACTGTGCAATCAATCTAAAAAGCCTGGCGAAAATAAAAATACCTCGATAAGGCGGTAACTGTAAGGTGCACCTCAACCATTCCGGTCTAGTTTATGTATAATAAGGTAAAGTCTGAACTACACACATTACTCGTTACGTCGCAACTTGCTGCAAACGGTCGTAGGCACATAAACGCTCAGATAAGATAAACAAATTGCTTTACGGTAAAACGTATCGAGTACAGGTACAAATGTCTCCTAAATCATACAATTATCGTACACGCGCAATCTAATCGACTATTAAATAATTATTCACTGTGAGCTATTAATAATACCCAAGATGTTTCTCGAGTACAAACGTACTTTCTTTTTGTTTACTACAAGTAGCACGAACTTTGTTGAATATTCATGACTCGCCAATAAAATTTAGAAATGGTTCAAAATGCAGCTTTTTTTACGTTTCGAAAAGAGTTAATCTATTCGAGTTGTTTAAAATACACATGTAAAAAACGTTATTATTATTTACCTGGGAATATTCAGCACACAAGTCGATGGAGTTGACGAAATCGCACACGTCGTCCACAGTCCAAGCGGCCACTGCAGATTTCTCGGCCGTGTTGGGACACGTGTGCTTGTCCGATGTGGTCGTGGCCGATGCCGTTGAACAGGAAGACACGCACGGCAACGTCCGGCTGGCGGCGGCTTGACAACCGGACGCCGAAGGTTTAGACGACGATTTTGCCGGTTTTGGAGAAACGCTTCCCAGCCGCTTGCCATTACCGCCGACCGCTTTTTCTCGAGATTTTTGCAACGCCATGCTGAAAGCGGGTATGTTGAGAAAGGTGTCAGCGAACGAACCGGCGCCGTCCCAAGGGCTGATGCCGGCCGACTTGCGTGGCTTTTTGCATGAACCGGACGACGACAGGTCCAAAGGATTCTGTTCTGAAGGCAGGTGAGGATTGGACGACGAGGATGAAGACGAACTCGATCGCTTGGTGGCACCGCCGGTTTTACTCATAAAAGCGTCGATTTGCGACGACCGCACCATGGACAGAAGAGCTTGAGTGGACGACATGTCCATCATAGGTGGAAACATGGGCACGCTGGTGCCCGGTATGGTAGGTGCAAGGAATGGGAATGCCGGGTGCAGAAGATTGTCACCGTGTTCTTTACCCGCCGTCGACAGAAAGCCCATGTGCAATCCATTCCGTGAAGACGAATACCTAGTAAAAAATATCAATGATAAATAAAATTCGAATCAAAACGTTTAAAACGAAAAAATTATATTTATATTTGACACCGTTTTATAATTAGTTGTAGTTGAAATGATGTTTATTTTAGGGTTTCATTTAAAATTATAAATATTAATGTAATACCAAAAAATATTTAACTCGAATGAACACAAGAATTGGTAAAAAAATTTGGCGTATACGTGTTTCGGCAACAAAGTTACCATCAGCAGCGCTAAACGCATACTGACCCCCGACCGAAGAATACTCCCAGAGACCTTATCATCTGGTAATGTCATCGCCTGTTTTAGTGTTTTTAAATATTTCTAAATCAGTTTTCCAGTACATTCAATAGAAATCGACACGGAAATTTCGAACAGATAAACTGTATTTCGTAGTACAGTAAAACAATATCACGTCATATATTTCCAAGGATTTCTTATCGTTAAATCTGATCTACTGGTTAAAAATCGATGGTAATGAGTTGCTACGAGCAAAGTTATAGTCACAACTGGAAATTCTAAAATATTACCAGGTACGGTATTAACAACACGCGAGAACTGAGCACACACCCGTCTAATGCACAGTGTGTAATTATTATTATCACACACATTGATGTTTTAATAGAATCGCGGCGTTTAACGAAACGATTAACGCGATCGTTCAACGAGTCTATAAATAAAAATTTCAACAGTCAACCAATAAAAAAGTGTACACGATGCGCACTGCTCGTAATAAAACGTTCGACGTAACAGGTGTGAGCGGATTCAGTAACGTCATGATTACTAGGCGGCCACTACGTTTGCCTGTTATAATAACACGGGCGACTGTAATCACACGGCTGATTTCGTGAGAATGCCACCGCCGACGAACCACTCGAGTACATCCTCGTCGTGCATCCCACGGGGGGGGGGGGGACGTTCTCAGTGGAAATACTGTACCAAAACGCACAAATACCAATGCGCTCAGTGTACGTACACTTAGAGTAACGTGATTACTATTCTTGTAGGAACAAATTCTTGTAATCTATCGGATGAGCCGACAATTTATTTTGATCGAGTGACGAAACGATTACGAGAGGATCCCATCGAATTCACACGGATAAAATTTCTGCACATTTCACGTGTACGACGCCTGTCCCAGGGGCTAACCCAACGCTGAAGGTTCCCGTAGGCAACGCGGCGGTCCCGTGATATTTTGCGTTTGGCCAGTAAGGAGTGAAAGTCAAATAAAAAACGAATGGCTGACACAATATTTTAACAACTGCGTTTTATTTTTTAACTATTTCGACGGATCATACGGAATTTTACGTATTTTCGTAGGCCAGGTAAAGGTTTGATTTATTACCAGAGCGGAAGGCATTCGTGGCCGTTCTCTAGTTCACTTGTTATCGTACGTGTGTATCAAAACGTTTATGTGACTCTGTTTAATTACCCAGTCGATGGCTTTTTCCACTCGTTGCCATTATGCAAACGCAACAACACTATAAAACTCCGTGCAAACACAGCCCATTATTTTTAATGTTCGATTGTTGAACGTCAACTTGTGTCTGTGCTGCTGTACGTGCAACGCGAGTAAATATTTTTTTCTAGTAGTTAACTCCCACACGGGTAACATTTTAAATTTATTCACTGGAACACGTGCAAATTAATTTCGAATGAACTTACTCGCTGGAATTGGCGTTTTGATATTTGGCGGCCAGACTTCGTATCAGGTCACTGCAGTTGCGGTTCAGAGGGTTGGGCGCGGGACTGGCCACTCGGTCGGCTGCGGCCGCCGAACCGGGAGGCGTACCCGGGTACGAGGAAGACGGTGTGCCGCTACGGGACGACGCCGAATCGCCGGCCGCCGCCGGACTCAGCCTTTCCGTTTTCACGTCAGCGGCCGCCACTTTGTTATTGTTATTGGTGTTGGACGTGTTGTTGTTGATGGGATGCTCGATCTGCATGCCGGCGACGCCCGGACGGCGGCCCTTCGACAAACCAAATGCGTCGATGTCTCTTTTGATGTCCACTGCAAAAATACAACACGAGATTAAATTCTCAACGAGTACAATAAGTACCGCGACTTTAGTGCGTTGCTCATTTTAAACGGTCAAAAACAATGTAAAGGTTCGACAGTTACCACAACTTTTCTTGTGAGTAGTTTCTAAAATATTTGATTTTTTAGTCGAACACAAACATTGTGCGAACGATTTTATTTTCGATTTCAAAATTAGGTATTCACATTATTGGCTAGAGATATATGCGATTTCTACTGACCAATTAATGCAGCGCAATATTATTGGCATAGTAAAAATCAATAACGCCCATTGTTGATACATAATAAAGTAATATCAGAACTTTGATGTCCCGCTCAATGTAAAACAGTTATATTCATGACATCGTTTCTCAAATATTGTAATTTTATGTTTTTATAATCAAAAAATAAACCTTCAATAAAAGTACTCCCCGCCTTACTTTATTCTGAATTGAGAAATTTCACACCTCCCACGTCGGCGGCAGTGCATTGTCTCCGACCCCCAGCTACCACAAAATCATAGTTGACAGTATAATAAAATAAAAACGAAACAATAACAGAGACGTATGTGCGGCTCGCGATGAGATAGTAACGGTGACGACTAGGAGGAGGGGCCACGATGGACTGCCGTGCAGAGTGGAGCCTTTCAGTCGTTTTCGACAACAAGGAATCGTTATTGTTATGATCTCGATTAGTTCCGGATCATCGTTATCCCACACGTCGGCGACGTGCATCGAATTTTTTCGTTTATTTTTTTGGCAGCGCATCCGTTTCTCGACCGTATGATGTGTGAACGCCACCTACGCGCACCTCTGCCAGCGTTAAGGTGTTTTTTTTTTGGAGAAGCGTTTCATTTTAACAGTTCACGTTGGGCTGGAGCCAATCCGTTCGGTCGTTTACACCGAACGAAAAAAAAAAACATTACACACAATAGGAACGCGCCGTTGTCCATTATAATCCAACCGGCTTTGGTCCTGAAAACTGAACCGTGAAATTTCTCAATTCCGAAACGTGCTGAAATTTGATTAAACCAATCTGTTCTCAATCAAAGCATTGCCATTTTAAACGGTTCTTTTTCCACTAGCTGTTAAATAACAATTACATTTTTGGCATAACGACTACCGTCGCTGTCCCTACCGCACGTGCTTTCAGTATGGAACCCAAACGCTATTGACAATCGACGGCGGAGCAGAAATTTCCAGGAATAATAATATTTTCGAACGCAATATCTACTTTGTACAAATCCGGAGGGGAGTCGTCCGACCGTATCCCCCCGTTTGTGGCTTAAAGGCTTCCTTCGTGAAAAACAAAACCCGGCAGACTGTGCGACCTCGAAAAACGGTACCCAGCGATTGACATTTTGCACGAGTGCCGGCGGTACATGACCAATTTGTATTACAGGCGGAAAAGCGCTTGAGGAAAGGTGCGGTCAAATAGGAACAATGAACGTCAAATAAGACGGCACAATGTTTTCGCAGTAACAGACACGTGAGAAACCCGTGTCCTTGCAGACTGTCATTCAGTAGCGGTCACACGCGAGTTATTCCGCACACACGCAAGGCGTTTGTCTAGGCAATCTGCTCGATTGTCTACGGTGCAAATCGCAAATTTCTAAAAATTATCGCTGCCATAATGACAACGTACGCCGCACGCACACGGTACCGAGAAAAATGCCATACCGTCTTACGGATCGACCGCGCAATAGAACACCGTGAGTTACAATACACTTACGGTTGCCGCACACCGCTGTGTCGTCGTTACGGTTTCCTTTATATTAACGACCGCGTTAATTTTATCGAGTGTGGCTGTCGGTTGGCGTCCGCGCTGTTGTACGCGGCCAATCGATGTAATGATAATATCATGCCCGGGAAATTAGCGTCACGAGAGAGACGTGTTGACTGCCACATAAATATATTACGGTGAGCTTGAACTTTGACACACGGTAATAAACGCAATCAATTATCGAACAAGACTGGAGGGCGGCACACGGCCGTATTCGCCGTGTTGCTCAAAGAGCACCGAAATATTAATGATAACCATTGATATCGTGGTAATATCAGAGAATATAACCAGTCCGTCTTTACGTTGGATTTATTAATGTTAGTTAGTGGTCAGGTCACACCTGAAAATTATGGCGACATCTTAGTAGTCGGGCTGGCGTAGGACTAACTACGTCTCAGTTTTGTCCTTATCATTTCTAGCGACATTCCTACGTGTCAAAATTACGGTAATGGTAACCGTTGACGATACCGTTTTATATTTGAGTATTACAATTATTATTCGCGGTCCGTGCGACTAATAGCTACTGCTGCTACTGGTGCGATAGCGCCGACGATAACGAGCCAATACAAACTACAACACATCTATTGTTGGCAACGGCAATGCAATCACAATAAACGAGACCGTGAAAAAATTCACTAAAGACATTAAAAAAAAAGTGCGTTATATTTTTTAAAGATCAACGTTGTCGCCAACGGTGACGACGAAACGAGAACAGTGTCGTGTAACAGCAGAAAATAATTCCGGTCGCCGTCCACATTAATTTTCGACATCATTATCCTTTTTTTATCGAATTTTGTAACACTTTTTCGAGTGTGAACGGTTTTGCCGAAATGGCTTTGCGGGTCAAGCGAAAGTGCTAAATGTCACAAGACCTTCTGAAATTGCATGCGCACCTAATCGCGAATTGAAAAAGAGAACACACCGAACAGTCGCTGTAAAGCTGTCGCGCGTATTGACTTTTTACCCGCGCCGTTAAAAAACGCCGACCTTTGTCTCGTCGACTCTTCGGGTCGTCTAAATCATACGGAATTGTATAATGACGTTTTGCTAGAGAGCGCAATATCCGGGTCTCGTCGAACACACAAAATACTATTGTTTAACGACCCCGTGAACTGTGTTTACGTACGTCGAGGTTAAGTCACGACGAGCTACCACTTTGCCGGTAAAATTCGATTTGAATTTCAACGGTAGTAGAAAAAAAAAACAGCACAACTCTGCCGGATTCTCACGATTATTACAAGAAACGCGGCGGCGATTATTAGTCACACACTGATGAAATATAAATTCGCTTGGGACGCTCCGCAATCAGAGAGAGCGTGGCGATAAATCAATAACAATAAAAAAAAAAAAATCACACACCAGTTATATGTATTATCGCGCATAAAGAATAATGGCCGACAATTACGTGCAATGCGTACCGGTCCGAACCGTTTCGTCGCTACCAGCGAGTGTCATGATACAAACACAACGCCATACGGACGCACAGCGTTCTATGGTCGTCATTAACCGCGTGTGAGAAGAGAAAAAGAAGAGGTGTATGGAGAGAATAAAAAAAAAAATTTGTATCGGTCTGATTTTGAGCTCTCGTTTTCGAATAGTTTCACGTTTATATTATTTTGTTGTGTTGTTGTCAATGAACCGCCGCCGCAGTTACTTACGGCGACCGATACGCTTTCACAAAGTAGAACGAGTCGTCGTCTTTGGCGAAAAAAGTAATCATATGTAAAAAGCGGTATTATATGCCTACACAACAAAAAAAAAAAAATTCAAACATCGTTCACAACAATATCAAACCGTTTTGCCGCAATACAGCCGTAACGCTTAATTAAAAAATCCACACACACACACGCGGTCGGTACTGAGACATGAAGCGTTTCTTTACACGAAACTCGTGTCGAACAACGCAATTCACCACGCGCATATTTTTATATGGACTCGACACAAAATCCATTCATGAATATTTAACAGTTCTCGGCAGTAATTAAAACAGACGAACATTTCGAGTTAAGTTGGTAATGCTTTGAACGTGCAAAGAACGCGATTTATGTCACACGCGTAAGGATGAACTATGACTCTGAAGAATAGACAAAGAAAACTGTTTTTTATTTAATGGAATACAAGGCAAAATAAATAACATGCGAAAATTAGCTACCGACGTGCAAAACAACTGCAATAACACAAAGTACACTTTGTACTGGTCGCGTCCGCTATCACTGTGCTTATCATTTCGTATTCGATGTTTGTTTACGTTTAAGTCGATTGCACGCGCCGACGGTGTTTCGGTCGTCGTTTGTTTGGATGGCTACTAATAATAATAATAATGAAAACATTATTGCTAATATAACGGCGACGTGTTCGGTGTTTACAATCGACTTGGTCTATTTTCGCGGCGGTTTTTTAATCGAATCAAGGAGAACTACTGCAGCGGATCAATTATGCCGGTCACCGCACACGAACGGACCACTTGCTAATTCGTCACGATTACAGCTCATGTCATTATCAATCTTTGTCGAATTCGATGAATTTCATTTCGAGTGCCGCGACGACACAACTAAATGGATTGTAATCACTCTTTTTTTATACTCTTGCCGCCCACACGACCGCGGCTCGTTAAACACTACTATCTCGGCGTAACCACGTGATGTTAAACAAACGATTTTTAACGGTAATCCGCAAGGTTCCTCTTCGTTTCAATTACACACTTGAATTTATTTTTCTTGCCTCTTACTGTTTAGCTATCCGAATCCAGTTAAATGTCGGAAAAGCCGAAATTATGTCGCGGTTAAAAAAAAAAAGACTCTGCACAACTTCGCAATAACAACGAGCAATTATGTACGCAAACATTTCATTAGAATGCATTGGCCTATTGGACATTTTTATCCGGCGCCTAATTATACACAGATTCCACCAACCGCAAGCTACTCCAGATCCATTTAATTGCTCATTTCCTGACCGCAATCGCTTTTGGCATTCGTTATCGTTCGCCTCCCGTGCATAATAAATCACTCATCGGGTCCGGCACTCGAGTCCGTATAAACGGTTTACTCAACACTTAAAAATAAAACTACACACGTGAAATGTAAATTACAGTATGCATGTAATCTTGATGAATTATACATAAGTTTGTTTACCGTACTGAAGCCGGAAATCAATGCTGGTAAGAGACCGAACGCGATACATCCATTACAATAACATCTAGTCATCCGCAACGGACGATTTTCTCTGTCAACAGAGTTATCGCCTTTAGAGTGTATCGCGGTTTAGAGCAATTGGGCCGATCCAACGGACGGCATACGTCGGCAAAAAAAAAACCGTATCACTCCTAAAGACTAATCGGTCGCGGCTTACACGACTCGTAGTCCGCGAAACGACTTTGCTCGGGTAATGCCGTCGACGGCCTAGTCCTTGTTAATTACATGGACATTAATTACACTCCGGTCGAAGCAATCCCTAACGACGCGTGTCCGCGATCGAACGGTGCCTGTCACAACACGAGATCCACGCGAAACAAAAAACACTCTTACGCATCTCGTGTGCGTTTTGGAGAACAATAAAAAAATTGTATGATGCAAGTGGAGTCGACACGGTTGTAAACGCAAGTAGCCGGTAAAACAAGTGCCATCGAACGGAGTATTTATTGCCGGAGGACCAGTCGGGCCAGTGTGTGCCCAGTTTCATGTTTGCGCGCCTGTGTTTATACCACTGACACTCGTGTGTGCATTTAGGAATTCCGCAACATTTTTCTCTGCTCGTCATTAAATTAAAAATATTATACGACCCGAGCACGATACCAATAGGAATATATTATAGTTTTTATTTAAAAAAATCCTCACATCTCGATCGGCGACAGCGTTCTGATTTGCTGAATGGTTTTATTTTTTTTTTATGACTACGCGTTTATTATAATGATGAAGGTTCGCATCGTCGGCGAGGGTATGTCGATAGGTTATCACTAAACTCTTTATTATTCCGTTGATCACTAATACGATTACATACACCGCACGTATATACAGTTATATTTCCTATATTGACACTTAGGCCAACTGAACAACACTACTAATCTCATTATACTGTCACAAATCCGTACGGGTCAATCGGAGGTCAACTGATATTTGCGTATTTCGGTATCATTTTTCACTCCTAACGAGTATCCTAACATTTAGAGTAACAGTGTTTTTCTTTAGACCGAACCAACATTCAGTTGATAAAATACATTTGGCCGAACATCAAATAGGACGGGGTTATTTTTTATAATTACTTTTTCAACGCTCACTCTACAAAAACGAATCGTTTATAAATTATTGACCGCAGAGTGCTTTGGCTTGGGTGTATATTTAGAATTACTTGATGGTGAGGTATAGTTAGTATAACATGTATTAATAGACCAGCACTTTAGGTATACGTATGTCGAAGTGGATAAATAAAAACAAATAAAAAAGATATTGTGTCTGTTTTTTGCAAAGTCGAGTGTTCTTGTAACACATTGTACATAATGTGATTAAGCGCCACGAATAAATGAATCGGTTGGTCGCAGCTGTAGAAATCCGTAGAGGCGGACTTTTAAGGACCGGACGAGTCCTCTAGTAGAACAAACAATATGCGTCGGGTCTAATTGGCTAAACTACCTCGGCGGCACGATGACTAAGCGTTACTGTCAAAAAAAAAAAAAAAACGTCAAATAACATTTTTTAATTGTCCCGCTCGGGGGAGTTGGACCGACATACTGAATAACGCAAGTACCGATGCATTGTCGCCACAAAAGGGCTGACGAGAATTCGATTTTGTCACCAAGACGATTCATTACTATTCTGTGCTCGTATAATTCACTTGCATTCTGCAGGACATCCGTGTCGCAATATCGCCATTGTATTGACTGCACGTCGTTGATGAATTTCCATTTCGTTTTCATTGAACCGTCAATTTTTTCGAATGCTTCCTTTTATTGCGACTTCTTTTAGAATGCACTAAGTAAAATATTATACAAACTCATTTTACATTTTTTTCAAGCCAGCGATTTGAACTCATCTAAAGTCATTCGAGAATACTCGATCAGAACAAAACCGTCCGAATTTCAAATAATACCCACACCAGGTTATCGACTCGGTGTCAAGTCCATAGAGTGTACCTACTTGTTCTCATAGATAAATCGCTCACATTAAGGAGGTAAGGAGGGGGGGTATTGTTACGTTAAAGTGTTACACCAATGACGTCTTAATTAGCAGTTACACAGTGAAATAAATTACCAAAATAAACCGTAAACGCTTGATATGCGCGTTTTAGATTCTTTTACTACTACTACTATTAAAAAATATACGCTTTACGATTTTATTATATATATAGAACGTAGAGGTTAAAACTTTGTGTTGTTTTTTTTTTCAATGCGTTCGTAAGATTTACCGAACGAGAGGTCAAAAACTTCTTTTTGTACAACAGCCGCGCGCGTTATCGCCTCTAATAATTACTCTAATTAAATGATTTGCGTCATCAAGCAGCACAAGGGGTATGTGTGTCGATAACAGTCGGGTCAACTGGGTCATGTGTCACCCGGGTGACGGTTTAAAAAGTCTATCGGGTCAAGGATTCAACATAAAAATATGCGATGCGCTCGTTCGTTCTTCCGACCAACGTATTTATTTTCTTAACACATCACTGAAAATGTTAGTAAGGGTCTCAATTAACCGATGCAATTCTCTGTAATACCCAAAATAAATTTAAGTGCGATTCGTCGTGGTCCGCGGCTCATCTGAAACTCACGACATAACTTCTTTGACAACTTCAACATCTCTGCCAATTCATACTAAGCCAACACATCGCGAACTACTCTAAAAACGTTTATAATTATTCTGGTATTGTATTAGTAGTACCAGAGTCCAAATAAAGTAATTATGTACACACAATAATCATACAAATAGCTCCGCCATTCATCCGATGTTTTATATTCTCCGGACGGCCTATTTTTACCCATACACAACATAAACGTTATTACTGAACGGTATTCATTTGTTCATGACAATGTTTACAAAAATGAAATCGAAGCCGTTCAAATGAGTTTATTGACAGAAATATAGTTAGACGACACGAAATATTAGTTTTAACGGGAAGTACTTTCAATAGCACACGCGTTTATGTGACTATTATTTGAAGTAAAGCGGTGTAAATAACTGATTGTTTGTATTTTTCGGTAGGTATACAACATTTTTGTTGTTTAAAATTGTTTCCATCGGGGAAACATGTAAATACGAAGCATTTACTTAGTACTACAGGTACGAAGTAGTAAATAAAAGTCTGTTTCATTAGAAAACACATATACACGTGCACGAATCAAACGATATCTGTAACTAATAACACTTAAAGGCTGTTGAACTTATGACCCTATAGGCGTAATAATTGAGAGTCGGAGGGTCACAAGATAATGAAATTTTTTTCCCATTTGCTGAGAGTACAAGTGAAGCTAAAATAAAACTAAACTAAATGTTTTTCAACGGCCGGCTCGTAATATCATTTGCTTTAGTTGAAATTCGGTGTTCGAGTGATAATTGAAAAAAACAACAAATCTTATGCAATCAAAATTGTTGGAATACAAAAATAGTTTTTATTATACGACCTGCCAGTCGTAGTGGGTCAGCATTTATAAAGGTCTTGATCTTACACAACACTCGAAAAACAATAAAACCTAATGCGATTTATGATGTAAACTCATTGCAGTGTTATTGTACAAAAGTACTGTGGCAGGTCTAATAAATTTCACATCCGTAAAAACATGAACTATTTCTTTAAAAAAATGCTAAATACCTCTTCTGAAGGCCGTGTCATTACGATTCCGCGTTATTTTCTTAAAAATATCGTGCAATTTTAGCCATTGAGAATTTTGGTATTTACCTGAATAACACCATGGAGGCCAGACGACGGGGCTGGATGCGTCCAAATCCCGCATCATGTTACCACCGTCATGTTAGTCCACGGTTCACTTGAAATTCAAAAAACAACGAAAAAATGAATTTTTAATTAAGAACAAGTAAAAATTAGTGTGGACCGAGACAAAACCGACAGTGTTCACAAAGTTAAATACACTCAAACTAATACGCAGTAAATATAGGTGTTTTACTGAAATTCGAG